ATTACACATTATATGTTTAAAATAGAAATAAGTCAAGACCACAATTACTTCATATGATCAACACATGAACAAATAACAGTTTGGAGTTCACTGCAACAGACTATTAGGAAATGTTTTCTGGAAATTACCAGGCTTATAGCCTATCAATGTAAATAGTGAACAGAGAAAACTGTGAGGCCTCTATGCTTTTGCACTCCTCTGATCACATTTCAAATTTATGAGAGCAGCGAGACAAGAAGACTGCTAAGGAGCTCAGGGTTTACTGTCATTTATTTGAAAAAAATTTAACAAAAGACCAACTTTACATTGCTTGCCCCATTATCCCTATTACTTTCCTTGCCTTCTACCATGAATCAGTGATATCCACCAATACACTAATTAATATCCACCGATGGTGTCTGCTGGTGACACTGGTCACGTGTTAATCTATCATTACCTGTTCTTTAGGCATTAACAATGTACACATTCAAGACACTGGCAGTAGCCTTTGAAAGGAGACACTACTTGATGTCTATCCAGAAAATGATAGGACACATCATTCTTAGTGAGGGAGCATATTTCTTTTACCTTGTCACTCCAACTATGTGGTGAACTGAAATGGAGAAGTCCCCAGTGAGGTCCCGTTCACTATATTAGAGCAGATTTACTAAGGACCTAATGTGGTTTTAAGCCCCACTAGCAGTCCTTCAATGCTGATTTCATGGAAGCCTGTCAGTTGTATTTCCCAAAACAAGAACATAATCTATGCCTATCACTTTTCTGTTTCTTCAAATATCAAGTCTACTTTACTCCTATTTTACTTTAAATGCATGTGGCGGTTCCCTCTCTGCGTTAAGTTCTAGAAATGATGAGTCAGGATCAGTTAGTAAAAGTCCATCAAATACAAATATATCTTTGGGATATTGTATCCCTATCACCAACACAGCCAAAGAATTGAGGCTGTGATAAGCAGATTCATGTTCTGCATAAAGTAGAGATAAAAACATATATCTTGCTCGTACTCTGTTAAAATAAACAAGCAATTTTAAAATGTACAGAATGGAAATTCAAGATTTCATACATCATTAAAATTTTCATATATGTATCTGTGTACACACAAACATACACACATATATACACATATACACACAGACACACATATATACATACACTTACATACATACACACATATGCTAGAATGTTTCTATTTGTTGATGAGTGCCAATTTCATAGTAAAAAAGAAAAAAATTAAAAACATAAGAAATAAGAGGTAAAGACACTCAATTCTTCAAACCCTTTTCACGTAGTTATTCTGCTTCAGATTCCTGTATGGTTAGAAGTTGGGAAGATCATAATTGGAGATATTTTCTGGAAAGAAATGTAACTCAGTACTTAATGGAATAAGTATACATCAGGGGCATAACACTGAGACTGGAAGAGGGATTTGGGGACTAATCTTTCAAAGGGAAACAGACGTTACCATATTATTCTTCTATCTGTGGTATAGTAGCCATGGCAAGAGTATATATGGGGAGAATTTGTTTAAGCCATTACCTGAAGACTTTCATTTGTTATTGGGAGTATTTTTATTTTGTTTTAGGTAACAGTTTTAATAGATCCAGGTGTGAAGTTAAGTTTTAAAAATACATGTTTTGAAAAATGTGGATATCAAGGAAGAGAAAGTATGGGAATTGTTTTCCTGAATATCTACTTGGAGGGTAAGTGCTTTGTCCAAGTTCACACAGCCAGGATCCATCTGTGGGGCATATGCTGTCACACAGTGGGACCATCACCCAGGATTTCCTAGCTCTCCAGCCATTCTTCCACACTACCTTTGCAAAGAACATTATAAGATGGTCATCTCTATATTTAAACTCTTATTTGGATATTTCTAATAATCACTTAGTTGGAGTAACAGATTAGCACATTCTGTAGAAATGAATTACAGAAAATAGCTAGGAAATGGAGGTTGGGAAGCTTTTCCTCCTAATCTTCACCCATCATGTATTTAAATTGTTTTATAAGAATGAGCATTTTTCATAAATTAATGTGTTAAAGCAAAAGTAAATGATTTTGGAGGATGAATTTTCTTACAATCCCAGAAAACCATCGTGCTCCCCCCTAAATTTCTAAGAAATAATGATCTTATCTTGGTGAAAAAGTCAATGCTGAAATCTGAGTCTAGAAGGTTCAGTACACGCATCCAACTGCACTGTTCATCCAATCGTTTGCTTGGCCATGCATTACCGATGATACAAGCAGAAGTCAGACTAAATTGGAATGGACATCTTTGTCCTTTCCTACCTACTGCAATATCCCGTAGATTTCTAATCACATCATTTATTGGTTTAATGATTGATTTATTGATTTAATGATTGTTATTCTTTCCTCAATTTTCCAGAAGGACTGGATATAATAAATCTGGATATAACAAAAGGACTGGACATAATAAAAAAAAAAAAAGGATCTGACTGATTCTCTTCAACCAAATACAAGGCACTTTCTTCAAGGACTTCTCTTCTCCACAAATGATTAAAGACTTGTTCATACCTAGTTTACACCTACTAAAGGAAAGCCAGCTGTTCATACCTAATTTGTGCCTTGGAATAATTATGTGACTTAATCAAAAAGATTTATCACTTGGTAAAGGTGTCAGAGAATAAGCATTTTGTAAATTAAAGTAATTGGGATTAAGAGGTGTAGAGCACTTCTCTTACCTAGACATCTGCCTTGTCCCTAAACTACAATTTAATTCAAAAACCTCTGAGAGGTTCTCCAAAGAGGAGAGCCCTCCCTGATTGATAGAGCTGGATACCTAATTGTGCTCAAAATTATTGATCAGATACCTTCCCCCCCATTTAAAAAAAGGCAATTACTGTCCCGAGACAGAAAATCAGTTGGGAAGCTACTTTTGTCTTATTACTAGCTCTTTGAATTGAAATTTACCTCAATTATGGAGAGGTTGTGGCGAAACAGGTACCCTCAGACTCAATTATGATAAAACCATAAGCTTGTAGAATCTTTTCAGAGAACAGTATGATAGTAAAAGTTATAACAATAGATGAGATCGGACTTGACCTGGCTCACTTTAGGGGGCTCTCAACAGCCAGGACAGCACAATTTCAGGGTGGCATTCTCAAAGCTAAGTGGCTTTGCTTCTTCTTTGTGTGCTCTATGAAGGTCCATTTCAAGGGTTAAAGTAGCAGCAGCAGCAAAGTCAATGTGGCATGGTGGGAAGATGGCTGGGGAGAAGCATGATGGAGGTCTGGGGCTGTCCAAAATATGTGTGTAATAATAATACATTATAATGCTTATGTATTAAAAGTCTACAAATATGATACTTACGTAATAGAAGAACTTATTAAAATCAGGTCATTTCCACTTGAGGACAATTCTTATATGCACAGAAACTCAAAGTTGGAAAGTGTTTCAAAGGCCATCTAATCCAAACCTATACTTGAAAAAAATCCCTCAGCAACACAGCTAAAAGTGGTCATTCATTCAGCCTTTGCTTGAAGACCACCAGGGAGGGGAAAACCACTACCTCCCCCAACGGGGCCCATTCTATTTTGGGGATCACTGTAAATATTGGGAAGGATTTTTCCCACATGTAAGAGGAGTGCCCCATACCCATAACTCTAGTCACTGAAAGCACAGACTTCTTAACGAAGTCAATCAGAGGTATGAACTAGGTTGACTAAGGCTTAGAGCCTTCACTGAACTAAGCAACCAAGTAATCAAAGGCTTTACTGTGAAAATCCCTTGATCAATGACTCAACACCGAGAGGGTGCTGACAGTGGCTGGGGAGACCGGGCCACACACCCTTTAGATTTTGTATTCAACATCAAACATATTTATAACCCAGAGATTTGAGAATCTAGTAGAAGAGAGAAAAACAAATAGGGACTTCAACAGCTGAACTGGATAGAATTGAAAGCAGACGGCAAGGTGAAAAGAAAAAGCAGAACTGAGCTGTGGTGGAGAAAGGCGAGACTGAGAAGGGACACTGGCCATACACACACCTCAAAGCGGAGGGCTCAGACTGAAACCACCAGTTGTGTCTACCTCCTCAAACACTTAGGCAAGTTCCAAGAAAATGGCAGCTTTCCCCTCCTCCTAGTGTCTCCTTTTGGTACTTGTCTATTAAGAGATACTATACCATACTCTACTTGCTTCTTTACCTAAATATTATTGGTAATCTGAATGTTCTCTCAAGCAAAAAGAGGACAGAGATTAAGGGCAATATGGGTGGAGAAGGATAATGAAAGACTACTGTCATTTCCCCTTGTAATACAGTAGAGAGGGAAACAAGCTTAGAAAGGAAGTCATCCCAAATTACTTAAAGAGGAACCTGCAATGAAGGCAACAAACAAAAGAAAGATGGAAGAAATCTATGATTTCCCCTCCCCCAAACTCTTTTCACTATGTACCACTGTTGCCTAAGATAGATTTATAGAGGTAGAAATGGTATAAAAAGGAATAAAGAGTTGAAAAGCACAAGATTAGAACAAGTGTACATAAAGGAGAGCTAAGCTATAGGCAAAACAATTGTGAGGGCACTGAAGAATCAATTCACATAATATCTGGCAAAAGAGTAAAAAAAAATCTTGGACTTTAATACTACAACCCTGCCACATACCAAAAAAAAAAATGTTGTTCAGTCATTCAGGTGTGTCCGACTCTTCATGACCTCATGGACTATAGCAACACGAGGCTCTTCCATTCTCTACTCTCTCGAACTTTCTACATGCTATAAGCTTCTGGAATCTTGGTGGAGGAATAAAGAAAGTAAGCTTGGAGAAATGGGAAAAGCCAGAGTGATATCCAAGCAAAAAAAAAAATTTTATAAGTTATTACATGCCTGCCTGCATGACAATCCTTTTCCCACTTCATTTTTCTGTCTCCTACTTAAGGCAATGTGAGAAAGTTCTGGGCACTGTCACATCTGCGGGGATTTTTTATTATTGTTTTGGATATAGTTTTTGAGCACAGTTCAGGCTCTATCTTTCTTCACTCTTACCTCGATTTTTCAATGGAGGCAGTGTAGGATGAAGGTCTTTATTGCATTCATTCCGTTCTGTGCAACATTCAATTGACCTCCTCTGGTGAGGAATAGGAGTGTCCTATAATAGAATCCAAATACAGATGCAAATAGGAATTAATACTTTCCTCTAAAATTCAAGAAGGACCTTTAATTTCCAATTTGAGTGCATCCTTTTTGGCATTTATTTATTATGCAAATATAGCCATTGGAGCTGTGATTATGATAATCCTTTTTAAAGTAAAAACAACTGTAGTTCCTATTAGAGACCATCATGCAATGCTCTGGGAAAGTTTTCACATTTTATTTCAGGGGTTAATATGCTATTTTATTTACAATCTATTTTGAATGACTAGACTTACTTTGAATCACCTAACTTACCTAGTGGAATCTTCAGGAGAAATTCTGGCAGAATACATTTACCCAAAATAGAATATAAACAAGAATAATGAATGAGTGAATAGGCAAGGGTTTCATTCTACTGAAAGTAATAGGAATATCTATTTGTAAAAGCAGAAAATAACTGAGAATACACAGGGATTTCTAACCATTTTGTTTTTACATTATGAGCAGATGAGATTTTCTTGTTTATTTTGCTTGTAATTCGTCTGATTAAATCACAGGTCTAGTAAAAAAAAATAAATAAACCAAGTAGAATCAAATTTCTTTCCTTACCCGACACTGAAAGTCTGAGCCCTCTAATCCCAGACATCCTGAAGTGACCACAGGCATCCCAGAATCATCTTCTTCTATCATAGTGAAACAGTAGCCATCTGTGCTAAAGATCAGAAAGGAAAAAAAAATAAATGTGTATGTGTACATCAGCTTGCTCTAGTTTTTGTTGGGGAAGGGGCAAAGAAATGTTTCTGACATTTCCCTTGAAAACATGATCATTGCATTGTAACAAGGAAGCTGAACCTCATCTATCTATCACAAGAACATACAACAATTACTTTCTCTCCCTTCCTCTTTCTCTCTCTCTCCCCCCTGCCTCTGTCTCAAACACACACACACACACACACACACACACACACACACACACACACACAGACTCATTGTGACCAATTTAGGGTTTTCTTGGTAAAGATACTGGAGTAGTTTGCTATTTCCTTCTGCAGACCATTTTACAGATGAAGAAATTAATGCAAACAGGGTTAACTGACTTGCCTAGGTTCACACACATAGGAAATGTCTGAGGTCAGATTTGAACCCAGGTAGAGGAATCATCCTGATTCCAGGCCTAGTGTTCTAATCCATTGCACCACCAAGCTGCTCTCACCAGAGGGTAGCAGATTAGAATAGAAGACAGACAATGATGGGCAAAGGACAACATATAACCAGTGTCCTCCTAGGAACGAAAGGGAGAAGAAAGAACACTGTTTGTGTTTATTTATAAACATATTGAATTTCTTGTCCTTTGGAAATGCAGAAGACAAATACGTATAATATAAAACACATGGGATTTTAAAACAAAAAAGCAGCACTGTTATGTTCTGTAAAATGTAAAGCTTTATCCAATCCATCTATTGCATATACACACAGTGCCCAAAGATGGCATTGTGGCAGAGACTTGAAAGCTTGGTGTTACAGAAAGGAAATTGTGAGATGCTATTAGCTATGATTTGTCTTTTTTCATATTACTGATAGTGATGTTCTGTTGTTCATTAGCCCTTGAGTTACCATCAACAGCCTTTATAAGTGTTTACTTGGCTTGCAAACCTAAAGTGATCTGTAATACCTCAGTTTATAAGTACTGAAACAGCAGAGTTCAAACATCCTAACAGATGGCTCGATGGTGCCAGTGATAAATGTCTTTGCTAAACCAAGGTCAAATTCATGAAGATTGTTGGGGAGAACAACTGCCTCTGCTTGCAGCTTACACTAAAAATCCTTTTGGGGGCTTCCATGCTGATTCAATCTGATTTCTGTGTAAATAGGAAAGCCATAAAGATTAAAGAATGCAAGAAAAAATTTAATCCTATTCATCTGCAACACAGAACAATCAAAATAAACGCTACTTTCTGGATTTCCCATCTCTTTTCAAAGTATTGAACATTTTCAACTGGGGTGGGGGCAACTCAGAGAAGAGATTTATTTTTTCACCAATATATGAATATCCTAGTGTGGAAACTTCCCCCACTTTCAGACTGGCAACTCCTCTACAATTTCTAGTTATAAAGATTTGCCTGGGACACTGACCTGTTAAGTGACTTGCTTTAACTAGCTAATATAATTAGAGGAAGACTCAAACTCAGGTCTTCCAGATGCCAAGATCATCACCCATGCCATGGTGACTCTAAAAATTTGATCCTTGAAAGCCACAGCATAATTTGGAGTCAAGGGCAATAAATACGGGAGATAATCAGCCTGATCCTCTGACTTTTAGTTTCTATGGGAGTGAGGAAATATGACTTAATGTCTGATTTTAGAATATATATGTACAGATATGTATATAAATATATTTCTTCTGAGAATGTCAGTCCTTTGTAAATCATAATTCAGCTTTGAAAAGAATTATAAAAATTACCATTTCTGAGACTTTTAAAATTGCATTGTTCTAGAAGGCATGTAGGATAGGAATAGGCATAGGTCTAGACCAGTAATTTCATGATACAAGGAATTCTACTACTAATGCAGGCCAGCACCTTCTCTATAACTAAATTTCCTGCCTAGAGTCACAGAGATACTATGTGTCAGAAGTGGGATCTGAAGTTGGCTTTAAAGCTGGTTCACTATCCACTATGCCACAGTGATTCACTTTATGACAGTGTATAGTTGGCAAAATAAAGAACACAAATTATTCTTACCTTTCCCTATATACTCAAAAAATAGTACTAAGAACTCTGAAAAGCTGAATGTGCTGGTAGCAGAGGTTTTGTTTCTTTTTGAAAGATGGAAAGGACACAAGGCCTATAATGACTGTTCAACAAATATTTGTTGAATTGAAGACATTTCTTTCCAGTTAATTCTAGCATGAGGCGATCTAGACTCTTTCACGATTTTTTTTAATGGATTAAAAAAATCTGTCTGTCTTTGTAAAGGAAATTGGTATAACCTAGAAAGCCCTCGTCTGCTCTCCTTCACCATATTTAATATTGAGGAAACAGAAAATTATCTCCATAGGGGATACCTGCCCCAAAGCAAAGCAGCAGTTTTTGCACTTTAGCATTGGCTATGCTACTTAATCGTAAGTGTATGATACAATGATGTTTTGAAATTCAATTCAACTGACCTAAAATGCAAGAATAAAACTACATATTTACTGTGAAACTGTAAATTTTAAAATAGCATGACAAAAATAGCACAGTGCATATCAGTACGAGTGGCCACCCACAATAAAACATCGTGCTGTGCTACGCAACAGATAAACTGCTGAACCAGAACGTAAGGCAGAAACTACAAGCAGAGGCCCGATGTTCTGCCTCCTACAAAACAAGATATCATCTTGCTAAAGCATGAGATCTGATGATGAGAACACAAAAGCCACAAGACCTTATTTTTGGAAAGATGCTACTACAATGAAAAAACTACAAGAGTGAAAATGGTGATTTGAACCAAGACCTTTAATAAATGTCAGAAACAGAAATCCAGGATCCAAAACTCCTGCAGCTGTTCAAGCAGATGTCTTTGTTGGCATAAGGCCAATTCTCATGAAGGATGCTGTACCTACCCTACTGGTTCACAATGGTTCAAGAGTATCAGTTGTTTCTACTACATTTCAAGGAAATAAAAAAAAATGACATCAGCATCTAACTAAATGTATATATTTCGTTTTTAAATTTATTTTATTTATTTTTTAATTACTTCAAAGGTGATCTATACCCAACTTCCCATTCTGACCCTGATTATTTAATATAATCTATTAAATTCATTCTAAATAAAAGCTTCCACAAATGAAACAAACACATACACACAGATATTTGTGTGTGTGTGTGTATATATATGTATGTGTATGTCTGTTTGTACATACATATGAGTGTGCATGTATGTACATATTATCTATGTATCTATAACTATCTGTCTATCTCGTCAATGAGTAACTTCCAAGATTTAACAGAAGAATCATCCTCATACTTTTACTGGTAATAAATAAAAATGGAGGACTAGAAAAACAAATGCAAAATTCAATACTACAAGGAACTGAGTGCCAGTGGAACAAATCAGATGGACTGTTACGATTTCATCACGCAATGAAAAACAAACAAGAACAGTGTGTGTGCCTTTAAAGAATCTGAGACCTTGTGTCATGAACACCTGTTTGGAAACTCACAACACCACACTCAACAGGAGGATTAAAATTTCAGCAGGTTCAGGGTTAACATAACCTTTGCAAGGACTGTTATGAAACCCTTTCAACTTCGCCACCTGTGACTCTTTTAAGTTATTCAGCTTCCAATCCTTTATATGCTAATTACTGCTGATTTCATGTATAAATCATGTATGTGAATCACCTAAATAATAAGCATTGATTTATACCTCTAAGACTCAAAAATCAGTTAAGTTCAAGAATTCTTGATCACACACTAAGTGTACAAATGAGTATTCAGATCTCTGAAATGAAGACTTAAAGAAAGAATTCTCAGAGCTCAGTTTTTGGTTAGCTATCCAGATATTCAAAAGCTATAATTTTATATAAAACTTCCTTCCTAAATCCTATAGCTGAAGGCAATGGCTCTAATTTGTTCCCAGATCCAAATAATACCACCTTGTAAACCATATAAGATAAAAACTGCCCAAATATTCTAGTAATTATGAATTTAAGGAATTTGTTTGCAAGGGGCACATAGTGTGGCCATTCTTGATTTTTCCCACCACCAGCTTTTCAAAGTTCCCCCTTCATTAATGTTCTCTTCTGATGTCTTATCTTAGAGAGACAGTGACCCTGAGGTTGCAAATGCATTTAAACTCTGGCAGCTCCCACCACTCTGGCAGTATGGGTCTGGTGGTAGTCTGTATGTTGGCCCCTGAAGGACTAGTCCAAGTTCAGAGATCCTCAAATACAAGTTGGTCAGAAGTGACCAATTCTTCAGCCACTGAAATTTCAAAGGGCTGTGATCAGCATTAAATGAAATCACAGATAGTCAAACTATTGAAGCATGAATTCTGGAAGTTTTCATGTTATATATGGCCTAATTATTTCCACCAAAGGCTTCTTATAGAGAAGGCCCAGGAATTCAAAAATGAAAAACAGTGCTGAAAGAGAAGGAAAAGCATGAGAGAACAGAAATTATGCAAGTCTGGAAGTATAACTGATAGGTAAACAAAATGTAGTAATAAGGATTTGTCATCTCAATGGTACTAGGAAGTCCTAGGTGATAAACCAATCTACCAAAGTAGGGCACGCCTTCTCTTAGAGAAGGTCTCAAAGAGTTGCCTCTTGCATAGAAAGACTAAGTGATTTGCTCAGTCTCATAACCAGCATTCTTGGTTTTGAGACCAGGTCACTCCACTTATACCTCTACAAGCTATATAAATGGAGGGTGAATATAGCAGGCTATAGGACTCCTCCCTTACCACTGTCCAATTACCCAGAATCAAAACCTTGAGAATAATTTTTGACTCATCCTTTTCCTAATATCTTACACCATATTATTCTTCCAAAATATTCTTGAATTCAAACTTTCCTCAAGGTTGGTAAAAGGCAGGCCACGAGTTTTGCGTATGCCCCAAAGGACTTCCTTCTATGCAGGGAATTTACCACTCCCTGTGGCCACCTCATAGCCAGCTTCCTCAAGTGAGAAGACCTCCAATTTTGGACTAGCACAATGCATCTTCCAT